ACCCATTGTGGATTCGGGTTAATGTGAAGTTAAGATAGAGCCAGGGATATCTGATCCTCCTACTTTGGAAAATGGAAAAAGAATGGGGCCAGGCAGAGGAAAAAATTAAGATGAAGTGAAAGAGAGGCTCAGCCAACAATAACATCAGTGGGTTCGAATTAGCTTCGGAGCATTTCCTGCTCTGATCTGGGAGCTAATCCACATGAGTAATATTTTTTTCTTCCTTAAAAAAAAGAAAGAAAAAAAGAAATTCAATGAGCAAATGTTAGAATTAAATATGACCAATATCTCTTGGTATTTCCTTCCCTCTTTCCTTGGGAGTTGTGAATGCCTTCTCTTTCACTCGCTTTTAAAATGTTTTCTTTCCCTAAGGTGCCAACTTTTCCAAGCAGGTTTTTGCCAAGGTCCTGCCCTGCCACCCGAGTTGAGTCTGCCCATGTTAGAACTCAGGAAGTTCTTTTTTTAATTTAATTTAATTTTATTTTTATAAAGTTGTTCACAATAATTCATTACATTTAATATTCAAACACCCACCCTGCCACCATTGCACCTTCCAACCACCGTAAGAGAAAAGTGTGTGAAGGTTGTTATATTTCATCCTAGAGCCATTAAGCCCTTGTATAAGAGACTACAAACATGTATGTTAAACCCAAACAAATGTGTGCTACTCTTGGTACATCAGTGGGGTAGAGTATGAGAGGTCCAAGAATTCTGAGAGCTCCAGGAATTAGCACAGCGGTAGGGCGTTTGCCTTGCATGCAGTCAGCCTGGCCCAGCCGGGTTCAATTCCTCTCGGAGAGCCCGGCAAGCTACCGAGAGTATCTCGCCCGCACAGCAAAGCCTGGCAGGCTACCCGTGACATATTCAATATGCCAAACACAGTAACAACAAAGTCTCACAATGGAGACGTTACTGGGCCCGTTTGAGCAAATCGGTGAACAACAGGAGGACAGTGCTACAAAATACGATTATAGAGCAGATTCACTTGTGGTTAAGGCCTATCTCACTCTATTCCGGGAGCTTTATTTCAGAGTTTCTGGATCTTGGTTTGAGATTATATGGCAGCAGGGGCAGCTTGTGGGCGTGACTACCGAGTATTGGAAAACTAGGGAGCTGGGGGGAGGAGGCCCAGTCCCGCTCTGAGCGAGCTTGGAGATTTCAGTCACAGGTCCTGCATACCTGGGTTTTTCTGCAGGTTCTCTCATGGGTGAGGCTTGTCCAAGCCTGTGGAGAATGGTTCTGTTGGGGAAACTCAACCCGTCCCCCTCCAAATTGCCCAGATCTCAGGAAGTTCTAATATGGAAAGATGTGAAGGGAAGAGGTAAAAGGAAGGTGCAGGGTCCTGGCCCCCTGGGGAAGGTGGAGGTGGGGGCTGGGGTGAGCAGTTCACCCCTTCTCAAGGGCTGTGGCTTGGTGTATCTGGGAGAGCAGCGACAATAGATTTGGATGTAAAGTGGCAGCCTACAAGTGATACACAGAAGTTCATGGAATTAATATGTACAAATAATGAAAGAGAATTTTTTTTTTAATCCTGTTTATAATTGTGCCTCAGAAAATCAGGTACCTCAGAATCAGCTTTAAACTGAACAGGTGAAAGACCTAAAAAAACCCCAAGCAACAGCAACAAAAAAAAAAATCAAAAGACTATAAAACACTACTTCAAGAAGTAAAAGCAGCTATGAGGAAATGAAGATACATCCCCTGCTCACGAATTGGGATTAACATTGTCAAAATGGCTACACTCCCCAAAGCATTAAATTGATTCAGTGTGGTTCCTATAAGGATAACCACGACATTTTTTTAAAGAAATAGATCAAGTTCCCCTGAAATTCACATGGAACAATAACTCCCCTGAATAGCTGAAGCAATCATTGGGGAAAAAAAAGATGAGAGGAACCACTTCCCAAAACTACAAGCTGTATTACAAAGCAGTAGTAATTAAATCAGCATGGTATTAGAATAAAGACAGACTCACAGGTCAGTGGAATAGAGTTAAGTATCCTGGGATAGACTCTCAAATATATGATCAGTTAATCTTTGATAAATGGGGGAAAAAAAGCAACTGGGGGGGATGACGGGAGGGAAACTGGGATCACTGGTGATGGGAAATGAACACTGGTGGAGGTGTGGGTGTTAGATCATTGTAGGACTAAGACCTGATCATGAACAGCTTTGCAAACTATGTATCTCACGGTTTCTCAAAATAACAAAGTTCTTTAAAAAATGAAATGGAGCAAGGAAAGCCTCTTCAACACGTGGTGTTGGGGAAACTGCTCATCTTCATGTAAAATAAATAAATAATTTGTTTCTAAACCCTTTTTTAGTGCTATGCACAAAAGTCAAATCAAAATGGATTAAAGACTTTGATATCAGACCTGAATTCATAAGGTACATAGACCAATCTCTCCATGAAAATGAAGCATCTTCACTGACCAAGCAAGTGGGGCAAAGATAAACAAATGGGACTACATTAAACTAAGAGACTTCTGTGCCTCAAAAAAAAAAAAGTGACCAAGATACAAAGACAGCCCATGGAATGGGAAAAGTTATTAAGTTATTTACAATACCCAATCTGAGTCTCCTGCCCCTGCGCCTGGCTGTCCTCTCCGGGGCTCCTTGGAGGGGAGCGGGTTGAGTTTCCCTCCCCGCCCCGACCAGGGCTCTGGCAACCGAAGACCTCCAGAACCAGCCACCACCATGCTGAGACCACTCTCCACATGCATGAAGGTACCGGCAGAGGAACAAAGGCATGCGGGTTCCAGGGCTGAGATCTCCAAGCCTACTCGGATCGGGGCTGAGCATCCTCCACCCAGATCCTCCATATTCCAGTACGCAGGGGTCACACCCACCAACTGGCCACCTGGCGCCGTGTAATCCCATCAACGGCCAAGACCCAGAGACTATAAAACCCAGCTCCCAGAAGCGAATGCGTCCGCGCAACATCTTATTATCTCATTTCTACTTTGGACCAACTGGCAGGCTACCGAATGTAACCTGCCCACACGGCAGAGTCTGGCAAACTCCCTGTGGCGTACCCAATATGCCAAATACCAGTAACAATGATGGGTCTCATTCTCCTAACCCTGAAACATAAGTGGTCAAAATACACATGAAAAAATTCTCTACATCATTAATCATCGGAGATGCAAATCAAAACAATAATATATCTCACACCAGAGACTGGTACATGTCAAGAACAAGAACAACCATGCTTGCACAGATGCAGGAAGAAAGGGCCTCTCATTCATTGTTGGTTCAAATGCCAACTGGTCCAGCCTTTTTGGAAAACAATATGGGTATTCCTCAAAAAATTAGAAATTGAGCTTTTATATTACCCAGCAATGCCACTTCTGGTAATATACCTTGGGAGCCTAAAAAACAAACCAAAAAAAAAAAACTGCAAAAAATCCATCTGTGCTCCTCTGTTGTTTGCAGCACTCACTATTCACAATAGCCAGAATATGGAAACATGGTACTGGTACTGAGAACAGAATTCTGGAAAAAGAAACTATGGTACATCTATACAATGGAACACTATGCCGCCACCAGGAAAAATGAAGTCATGAAATCCATTTCTAAATGTATGTACATGGAGAGTATCATGCGGAGTGAAATGAGTCAGAAGGAGAGGGACAGACAGAATGATTGCACTCATTTGTAGGATGATATAAAAACATAGTATGAGACAACGACAGTAGAACTAAGGGCCAGGAGGACTGGTGCATAGTTGGAAGCTTGCTACAACTGGTGGGGGGAGAGGGTAGTTAGGATAGAGAAGGGACCACTATAACAGTGATAGTTGGAAATGATCACTCTGGACAAGAACTGAGTGCTGAAAGTAGGTAAAGGGATATACATGATAACCTTTTAGTACCTGTGCTGCGGTAGCACAGCGGTAGGGCGTTTGCCTTGCATGCAGCCAGCCTGGCTAAGCCAGGTTCGATTCTTCTGCCCCTCTTGGAAAGCCTGGAAAGCAACCGAGAGTATCTCGCCCGCACAGCAAAGCCTGGCAAACTACCCATGAGGTTAGCTTGGTAAGTATTCAATATGCCAAACACAGAAACAAGTCTCACGATGGAGACGTTACTGGGCCCACTCCAGCAAATCGATGAACGGGAGGCCAGTGACAGACACAGTGACCTGTACTACAAACCATAATGCCCAAAAGGAAGGGGAGAGAGAGACAGAGACAAAACCAGAAGTATCTGCTACAGAAACAGACTTGTGAGGGGGAGGAGAGAGGGAAGGGGAAGGGAAACTGAGGACACTGGTGGTGGGAAATGTACACTGCTGAAGGGACCCGTGTTGGAACACTGTATGACTGAAACCCAATCACGGACATCTTTGCAATTGTGTATCTCACAGTGGTGATGCAATAAATGAAAAATCCAATGAGCAAACGTTAAAATTAAGTATGACCAATACTTTTTGGTATTTCCTCTCCTCTTTCCTTGGGAGTTGTGGATGCTTTCTCTTTCACCCTCTTCTAAGATGTTTTCTTTCCCTAGCTAAGGCGCTGACTTTTCCCCGCGGGTTTTTGCAAGCATCCTACCTCACCGCCCAAGTGAAGAACTCGGACGCGAGGGGAAGAGGGAAAAGGAGGGGTGTGTGTGTGTGTGTGTGTGTGTGTGTGTGTGTGTGTGTGTGTGTGTGTGTGTGTTTGGGGGGTGGGGGTGCCAGCCGGGGGGAAAGGTGCTGGGGCGGGTGGCTGGGTGGCCCCTTCCCCGGAGGCCGGGACTGGATCTCGGGGTCCAGACGCGCGGTTGCTAAGAGCTCACGCCCCTTTACTGCTCCCTATTGGGCGGCGTCTGGGGAAGCGGAGCCCGGGGCGGTGGAGCTGCAGACCCCGAGCCCGAAGCTCCCGCTGTGCCGGGCTTTGAAGCCCCTCCAGAGCGCACCCCCCACCCCCCAACGCTAACCTGTGCTCGCTTGGAGGGGCGCATCCGAAGGTGCAGGCGGGGCCCCCCAAGCCCTCCGGCCCGAGGGGCACCGGACAGGGGGCGCGGCTCCCGGGCAGCGGGTGCGGACCGGGTCCCCGCGCGGGGCGGGCCGGAGCCTTCCGGGCCTCCCGCCCCCTCGGGCCGGGCCCTCGGCGCACTGGGTCGCGGCCTGCAGGCGGCCGGGCCATGGGCAGCGGGAGCAGCCGGAGCGGCCGGGCCCTGCGGCGGCTGCGCGGCTCCGACCGTCCCCCGGCGGGGCGCAGCGGGCCGGCTCCCGAGGCCGGAACGGCCCCCGAAGAGGCGCGGGATGGGGCGGCGGCGGCGGCCGGCGGCGACCCCGGCCCCGCGGCGGCCCCCGACAGCGGCGATGACACGCTGCGCCTGCTGGACCAGCTGCTGGCCGAGTCGGCCGCTTGGGGCTCCGGGGAGCCCACCCCGCGCCGCCCGGCGCGACCCCCAGCCACCGCGGGCGCCGGGAGCCGGGTGAGTGAGCGGGACCCGCGTCTACCTCCCCACCTCCCTTGCTCGGGGACCCCGCGCGCCCAGATCGCTCCCGGGGCTACCCCGCACCCGCGTCCCTAGCTCCCGTATCTGCGTGTCTCCTGCAATTGGGGGTCCCCGCGCGCCCAGATCGCACCCGGGAATCCTCCGCACCCGCGTCCCTTAGTATCCGCGTCCCCCAGTCTCCTGCATTAGGTGGGGAGGGGTCTCCGCGCGCACCTGGGTGTTCCCCGCATCCGCGTCTCCCCACCCCCGTATCTGCGTGTCTCCTGCGTGCGGGGGAGTCTCCGCGCGCGCCCGGGTCTCCTCGAACCCGGCCCTCCCTCGCACCCGCCTCTCTCCCCGCACCCGTCTCTTCCCCGCACCCTGGGCCTCCGAGCCAAACCCTCCCCAGCACCTGCGTCTCCTCCTTCTCCCGAGCCGGGAATCTCCGGGCCAAGGCCCCGAGCGCCCGCACGCAGGCCCGCGCGGCGTCCGGACCCGACACCCCGCGCCGGCCGCCTCCTTCTCCGCCTCTCGGGGCGCCCTCCGGGGCTGACGCTCCAGTTCTGCGGGAGCCACGCAGGGAGCGTCCTTTAGAGGGCGGGGGACGGAACCCCGGGCGGAGGAACGAGGGAACGCCTCGACTTGTCCTTCGCTTGGGGAACTGCGCGGTTCCTCGGTGCCTGCACTCTCTCACCCTCTCTCTGACGCTCTCCCCATCCGGCATCCCCGGAGACCCCCTAGAGGAGGGGGCTGGGTAGGCCTCAGATTGCCCGCAGAGGTTCCCAAGGCGATTGTTGGAGGACTATCCGGCACCCCAACAGAGGTGACAAGTGAAAAATCTAGGGCCTGAGACATAGTACCCCAGGTACACTTGGCTTGTAGGCAACTGACCTGGGTTTAACCCTCAACACCCATGTGGTCCCCTGAGCTTCCCCAGGAGAGATCCCTGAGCGCAGAGCCAAGAGGACGCCCTTCAGTAGCATCAGGTGTGAAACAAGAAAAGAGAGAAGCAGATATGTCCATGAGATTCACTGAGAAATGTATATATATTAAAGTTGCCTTTAATAAGTGTGATAACCTAATAGCATCCCTCCACCCACACCCACACCCCGTCTGCTCTTTAATAAGTATGGGTCACCCACCATGGAGGGGAAGTTTGTATGCGGGAGTTTTTCTGCTGTGCAAAAGTTTTTCTGTTGTACATGTGCAAATATAGCACATGTATTACAAGAGCATCTAAGGCAATAGTGTCTTCCAGGTAGAAGGAATAAGCCGTTTTTTTTGTTTTTTTGTTTGTTTTTTTGCTTTTTGGGTCACACCCGGCAATGCACAGGGCTCACTCCTGGATCATGCACTCAGGAATCACACCTGGCAGTGCTCAGGGGACCATATAGGATGCTGGGAATCGAACCCGGGTTGGTCGCGTGCAAGGCAAACGCCCTACCCGCTGTGCTATCGCTCCAGCCCCGGGAATGAGCCGATTTTTGCAAAGATTCCGCCTTGTGCTAGAAAAGGGAGGACCAGGGCAAATCTGTCTCATGTGCCACCCTTAGCCAGATCTGCACAGCAGTTATAGCTGCACCTGCTATGGCTGTGAAGGTGGAAACAGACCCTCAAAGTACTCACTCAGCTGGAAAGCTGGTCCCAGAGGCTTTCAAGGTGAGTTATACGATAACTCACCCTTGCAAAAAGCTGTTTTTGAGGCTGGAGAGATAGTACAGGGGTTAAGGCCTTGCAAGTGTCCAACCTTGGTTCATCCTCACCATGTATGGTACCCCATCAGAAGTGACCCCTGAGCACAGAACCAGAAGTAAACTCTCAGCACCCCAGGGTGTGGTCCCTAGAAACAAAAAGGTTTTGTTTTTGGTTTGGGGGCCACACCTGGCAATTCTCAGGGCTTCCTGCTGGCTCTGTGCTCAGGAATCACTCCTCGTGGTGTGCTGGAGACCCTATAGGATGCCAGAGACTGAACCCGGGTCAGCCGTGTGCTGAGATGCTGAGATAGTACAGCTCACCAGCTGTACTCTCTCTCCAGTTCCACAGAAAGATTTTTTTTTTTTTTGCTTTTTGGGTCACACCTGGCAATGCACAGGGGTTACTTCTGGCTTATGCACTCAGGAATTGCTCCTGGTGGTGCTCAGGGGACCATATGCGGTGCTGGGAATTGAACCCGGGTTGGCCATGTGCAAGGCAAATGCCCTACCTGCTGTACTATCACTCCAGCCCTAAGATTTTTTTTAAGCCACTAATCTGAAGACAGTGACCATCTGTCTGCCTCAGATCTAAGAGCAGAAATTTAAGTGTTGACAAGGAGGTACATGATCTGTCTAGGCAACACAGAAGAGCAGAATCTAGTGCTGACTCCCGGCGCTGAAGACCATGCCAGGAGGAGTGGGTGGGTGAGCATGGAGGCACCAGAGAGAAGTGCTGTTCCCCACAACCAGAACCCGGACATCCGGTCAAGGCCCCAATTACCCCCCGAGCCACCCTACATCTGAGTTGGTTCAGAGGATCTGTCCAGTTTGCCAGCAGTTGAAAGGGTGTTGTGGGTCGGAGAGGAATGAGAGCACTGAGCACCTGCTTAGCCCATGGAGCCCCTGAATGGATGGGTGCGATACCCCCCCCCACACACACACATCACAGTTGGATGGAGCCCCTCATGAACATTGAGCAATGGACTATGGAGTCCAGGGTGCTGGAGCAGCAAGCGTCAAGCATGAGGCAGGGGACAGGGTGCCATGACTTCCTAGCCTTCTAGCTCATGGGTTGAACTTAATCCTATTGGTCCGGGGCGAATAGGGGGAAGTTCTCGGGACTTGGATTTTTGGGGAATTTTTTGTTGCGGGGTCACACCCAGAAATGCTCAGGGGTTACTGCTGGCTCTGCACTTAGGAATCACTCCCAACAGTGCATGGGGACCAGACGGGATGCCGGGGATCGAATTCAGGTCAGCTGTGTGCAAGGCTAATATCCTACCCTCTCTGCTACCTCTCTGGACCCAGGGCTTGTTATTTAGCATCAGGGGGAAAAATAATTCAGACACATGAAAGAAAAATGGAAATGATTTCCCAAAGGCAGGCAGGCTTTCCTCGCACTCCAATCCCCTTGTCCCTAGAAAGCCTCCATCGTATCAATTCCTGTCTCTGCCCACCTGCATTTGGAAGATAGCTGGTGACCGACCGGAGGGAGGAGCTGCCAGGCAGGAGGCCAGGGAGAGCTGGTGGCATCGGCTGAGGCTTTGACGACATGGTCTCCCAGAGCCTGTCCTGATACCAGAGCTCAGCCATGGCTGCCCTCATGCGGGGACTGGAGCTGATGGAGGTGACGCAGGCGGGATGTGGCTGACACACTCTCAAACCATGGGATACTGGGGCGGAGGGGGCGGGGGGGCTTTGTGCTGCCTGAGACCAGGACAGACCCTCGCTGGACTCTGCACAGGTGACCCCGCAGACTTTGCACTGGGCAGAGGCTCACCCCGCCAGGTGCCAGCAAGGAAGCAGCCTCTAGCCCCGGCCCGCCAGGCCTGTCTGTGTCTCCCTTGAGTGACCCAGTTGTTCAAGATCAAGGCACCAGAGACAGTGCCCACCTTTCCGTCTTCCAGGTCTTCTTCCAGAACCTTGTGTTCAGGTCAGATGCCTCCGTGCCAGGGTCAGGGTGTCCAACTCCCCCCGCCCCCCACCCAGCACACACAGGGGCTGTGGTGCCCAGGTGGAAACAGACTGAGGAGAGCCCAGTAGTCTTTTGGGGGGGCGGGACGGTTGTTTGGGGACTACTGGCTATGCTTGGGGCTTACTCCTGGCTCTGCACTCAGGGATCACTCCTGGCAGGGCTCGGCAGACCATATGGGGTGCTGGGGATGGAACCCGGGTCGGCCACGAGCAAGGCAAACACTGCAGCCCGAACCCATTCATCCTGGAGCTAGTTTAGTACTCACTCCATTTCCGTGCCATGGAGGTTTGAAAGAATCATGCACAAATATAAGTGCACTTTTTTTTATGAGGTGCTAAAAACTCTAAAAGGGTAGTTGATTGTTCTTTTTTTTTTTATTTAATTTTTATTAGTGAAACACCATGAGGTTCAGTAGTAGACTTACAAATTTTTGTGCTTGGGTTTCAATTATACAAAGATCAAATACCCATCCCTCCACCAGTGCCCATTTTCCACCACTGCAGGTCCCAGTATCCCTCCCACCCCCCATTTCCCCCACCCCACCCTGCCTCTGTGGCAGGGCATTCCCTTTTGTTCTCTCTCTCCTATTGGGTGTTGTGGTTTGCCAAAGAGACATTGAGTGGCAATCATGTTTGGTCTATAGTCTACTTTCAGCATGCTTCTCCCATCCTGGGAGGATCCTCCCAACACCCCAAAAAGGGTAGTTAATTGATCTTTACCTTCCATCCAGGGCTGGAGCGATAGCACTGTGGGTAGGGCGTTTGTCTTGCACGCAGCTGACCCGGGTTCGATTCCTTTGTCCCTCTCTGAGACTCCGGCAAGGTACTGGAGTGTATCGCACCCACACGGCAAAGCCTGGCAAGCTCCCTGTGGCGTATTCGATATGCCAAACACAGTAACAAGTCTCACAATGGAGACGTTACTGGTGCCCGTTCAAGCAACTCCAAGAACAATGGGAGGACAGTGCTACAGTGCTACCTTCCATCCACCTTTTTCAGCTCTCCCAGGTATTCCTAAAGGCAAGGCCCAATGAATGTGTGGGGGCAGTAGGACAGAGGTCTCAGTGGCTGTTTTTTTTTATCCTTTATCATTTTTATGGTACAAGGTTCCCCTCTCCCCCCCCCCCCACCATCCGTCCCCCAAGCCCCCTTTATAGTCGCTTGGCTCTTTTTCCTGCCTGAGAGGAGTTGTGTGGGGGACAACGGTCAAACAGCGCCCCCTCGTGGTAAGAGCTCTGAATCAGCTCAACAGGGTTCTGAAAAATCATTGCCATAGTTGGGACTTTTAAGGGACCAGCACCAGATCCTTCCCCCTGTTCCCCTTGTGTG